GATCTCTAATGGATCTAGGAAGAGTAGCTGATTTTCAGTTTGTGCATCTTCTCTCATTTTTGGCCCGAAAGTGACAGCTTCCAAACTTCTCCTGTGCTAGAATGGAACCTAGAAGTCTGATATCCATTTGCTTTAACACTTCTTGTAAATATAATCCTTTATTCACCATATAACCTTGCCACTTTTGTAAAGATCAATTGCATAGGCGTGTGTGTGTGTGTGTGTGTGTGTGTGTGTGTGTGTGTGTGTGTAACTATTTTGGGACTGTATTCTATCCCATATTTTTCTGTGTATTCATACCACATTCTCCTGATTACTGTTAGCTGTACAGTAACGTCTTGAAATCGAGCACTATAAGTCCTCCAGTTGTGTTCATTTTTACCACCATTTTGGATATTCTAGAAAGTCCTGCTCATTTCCACATACATTTTAGAATCAGCTTACCAATTGCTGTCTTAAAAAATATCTGCTATCCCTTTTCCTCTACCTCTTGTCTAGTAATCGTCTTCTACATTCCTGTCATATTTTTTAGATTCTACATATTAGGGAGAACGTGTGCTACTTGTCTTTCTGAGTCCAACTTATTTTGCTCAGCATGATGAGGAAGTGTAAGGTTGGTTAGTAAGAGGTATGACCAAAATACATTATACATATTGACCCCCTCAAAAAAGCCTGTGAAACCAAGGAAAGGGCAGGGTAAGGGGAGGTGAGAGAATTTATATGCATGTACAAATCTACCAAATTGAAACCCATTAATATAAATTAATAATAAATGTGGAAGATGTATAGGGGAGATTATATTGGTTTATAGTTTTCTTGTAATATATTAGTATTAGTATGTTTTAGTCTGAGGTTGGTATCAGAGTAATGCTGACCATGTGAATTAAATCAGGAAGTTTCCTACTTCTGCTGTAGTTTGAATGAGTTTGTGTTTGATCGGGATTGTTTATTACTTAAAAGTTTGATAAAATCCACTGTGAAGCTTTAGGGGCCCCGAATCTCTTTTGTGGGAAGGTTTTATGAATTCAATTTCTGTCATGGACTTGGAGCTATTTATATTTTATTTTTCTTCTGTCATTCTTGTATATCATGTTTTTTAAGGAACTCATCTCCTTTACTTAAGGTGCCAAAGTTACTATCTTAAAGTGGTTCATAACATTCTATTATTATCCTTTTTAACAGCTATAAGATCTGTAGTAATAAAGTCACTTTGATTCCTGATATCAGAACATGTGTGTTTTGTTTCTTTTTTCTTGATCAGTCTGCCTAGAGGTTCATTGATTTTTACTGACTTTTTAAAAAGCATAAGCTTTTGGTTTCATTGAATTTCTTTAGTCCAGTGTATACCCATTTTCTAGTTCATTGATTTCTATTCTTTATTGTTTCCATCCTTCTACTTAGGTTTTAATTTGGTTTTCCTTTTTCAAACTTTCTTAGGTGAATCAATGATAATTTGAGAGTCCCCAAGTTCAGTGGTTTCCTAGGAAGACTGACAGCATTCAGCCTATATCCATATTCACTGTTTTACTCTTTTTTTGATACCAGGGATTGAACTTGGGTCTTTGCGCTTGCAAGGCAGGCCACCAAACCGCTGAGCTAAATCCCCGGCCCTATATTCATTGTTAAGATTCACTACTGCAAAAGATACAAAGCAAAACCACAAAGGGAAAAGGCACACGGGCGAGGTTTGAAGGGAACCCCGCACAAGCTCAAGAGTCTGCTGGTGTGGCATCACCCGGGATGCACTTAAATGGCCCCACTTCGGGCTTGCTGTGTGGCATATGCCAGTATTCCAGATTCCGAGCAGGAAAGCAGTGTTCTGCACAAACCCTCTTGTTTCCAAAAGCAGTTCAGGCACAGCCAGTCACTTTTATCAGGAAATGACCTGCTGAAATCCAAGGTGTCAGGTGCCAGCCGAGGATGAACCCTGCATACAGCGTTTTCTGTGCCTCCCAGTCTCAGCCCTGTTCTGCCAGCTCTTTTCTGCACAAATCTTTCAAATTTTTCATTGTTAACATAGAGACTTAAAGCTGTGTCCCCACCAGCCACTCTTCTAGCTTCTTCTCTTAAATATTGACATGTTATATCTTTGTTTCTTCACTGAGTTCAAAATCTTTTCTGATTTCTGTCATGATGTATGTTGTTGTCTTCAAGTTCCTACATCTTGTTGTCTGCAGCGTATTTTCAGCTACTCGTTTCTTCCTGCAACATTGCCACTTCATATGTCATATATTTCTGCTCAAAAAGTTTTGCTTCTTTGTATGCTTCCTGTTTATCTCTTCATTATCTTTTAATTTTTAAGTCTTATTAGTGCATCTTTGCAGTACATAATGATTACCTTCCCCATGAGGAGTTGGTACATGGACATCACACATTTTAATTTCTTTTTACTTCCCCTTTCCTCTTCATTATCTTCATGTTTGCTCTTAAAATCTTTAATTTTTCGTAGTAACCATTTAACTTTGTTACAACATCTTAGCTTATTTGCTAATCCCATGACTTCTGTCCTCTAGGTCTGTTTCTATTGAATTATTTTCCTTCTAGTCATGGGTTACATTGTCTTGCCGTCTTTCCTGTCTGGTAGTTTCTGTCTGCATGCTGGACATTGTGATACTGCACTGTCAAGTGCTTGGGTTTGTTTTCTTCCTTTAAAGAGTAAAATGTTGCTCTGACTGGCAGTTTGTTTACTTGTGGGTCAGGTTGCTTCTTTCCAGGCTAATTTTAAAGCATAGTTAAATTGACCAGGGAAGCTTCTCCGATCTGACTGATTGTGACTCTGAGCCACCCAGCTCTGTGTGAGCAAGACCACTGCCCAGCGCTGTGGTCAGTTCCTCTGATTTTTTCCCTGTTCACAATGAGTCTCACCCTAGGCACACACTGGGGAGGACCCCGTGCAGGTTCCTGGAACTCCCTCCTCTCTGGTCTCTGCCCCCTGCTTCAAACCTTTTCAGCCTCCATCTCATCATCTCATAGACTGCTGTGCTCCACTTGGGTTCCTGCTGTCTGTTCAGTGGTCTGGGTTGTGTGTCCATCTGGACGACTGAGACCATCACGGAGCTTTCAGTTTTCCTTCGCTCAGGAATAAGCAATCTGTTCTGTGTGAAAACAGGTGTTCTCCTCATCTTCCCTCTTCTCTTCTTTTCCTTCTTCATCCTCTTCCTTTTTACTGTTCTCTCCCTTTTCCTCTCCTCCTCTTCTCCTTTCCCCTTCCTCTCCTCCTTCCTCCTTTTCGTCCTCCCTCCTCCTCCTCCTCTTCTAATGATGGTAGGGCTAGTTACTGTGGTGCGGCAAGAAGTTGACTCATTGACCATCTCTTTCATACTCCCACACCCATGTTTGTGACCAGCAAAAGTTAACAGGAAGAGGCACAGATCGGGGGATCTTGGAAGAATAGGCTGCACAGGATGATGTTGTGTGCCCACAGCACATTCAGGATGGTGAATGAAAGAGATGCTCAACAACTAGGCCACACCCACAACGAGAGGTCCGACTGGAGATTTTATTCAAGGGGTGGGGGGAGAGAGAGAGAGAGCAGAGAGGAGCAAGAGAGGAGAAGAACAAAGAAAGGAAGGTCCTTTTATCAGTTTTGGGCCGGGCTATTGCTTATGTATGAGGAGTGAGCTACTTTTAACCTATTACAGATCAGGTTGCTTTTTATGGGTCCAGCCCTGCAGAAACAGGTTTCAACTTCTCTGGACCACTGTGGCCTTGGGGAGAGGGAAACCAGAGATAAGGGCGTGAGGTCATTTTAGGAGCCAAGAAGCACCAGGAGAATGCAGCCTGTGAGGCGGCGTCACAGCACACTTTAACATGATCAGTTCCTTAGCAGTGAATGTGATACATGTGAAGGTTAGAGGTGAGCTGGGGTGGCAGGAGTAGGCAGGAATGCATCTAGTACCTTGCACATCATACTGCAGGTTTTGGGAAGACTATAACTAGCAATCATTATTGTAATTATAATGACAATAGCATGTAACTGGTTCATTTCCATGTCCCAGGCACAACTTTCAGCTCCTTCTATAGTTACAGTGGACCCTTGACTTACAAACTTGATCAGTTCCCGAGGGCTGGCTGTAGCTAAGTCAATACAGCTGAGATCTAGATGTTTACCTGGGTACATGTAGTAGATGACAATTGGCAGCTGAATCTTTCATTGACCTAATTAACCCAAGTTGTTCATAAGTCAGAGCGGTTGTAACTTGAGGGTCTACTCTATCTCACTTATTTTTCTAGCTAGCTCAGGAGCCTCTACGGTGTTACTAGGAATTATCATGTGCCATGTGCTTTCTTCAGCACTTTATATATCTATCAATAACCTGGTTACATTTGCCAGGGATTTAGCTCAGCGGCTCGGTGGCCTGCCTTGCAAGCACAAGGACCTGAGTTCAATCCCCAGTACCAAAAAATAAATAAATAAATAAATAAATAACATGATTACATGTATAATTAGGTCTCTTTTACAGTTCAAGAAACTGAGGCAAGGCAGGGCAATGACTTACAGTCACATAGAAAATAAGTGGTGATTGAGATGACTTTCTTTTCTTCCCAGATACTCACTAGCATTATTATAATAATGTCCTTACACTACAAAGGCACTGCATCTGGGCCACCCAGGGTCTGAGGCTCTGTTACTTGCAGACATCATGGATGTTGGTGCCCATGGCCATCATGCGTGGTGGACATGGCATCGCTTGGCAATCAAGCTAGACCCACAGTATTTAAGAAGAGCTTCTTGTGCTCTTGGACAGTCCTCCCATCAGAAGATGGCCTCTAACTCTAAAGGCTTTAGTGGTGGCTTCTGATGGCTAGAAGTGGCAGAAGAGATGTTGGGTGACTTCCAAGATATCTAAAAGGCAGCTCAGACACCCTTCCTCTTTCTCTTGAGCCTCCAGCCTTGGGAACCCTGATTTGCTTCCTGTCTCTACAAGCTGCCTCTTCTAGGATGTCATATGATTCCAGTGGGTAGTGTTGGCATTCAGCTTTTACTTAGTATATTGTTTTAGAGAGCCATCCACACGGCTGTGTTCGTCAGGCATTTGATCCTTTGTGCATCCGAGTAATTTGGTGATCCATTCGCCACTGGTTTGGCCATGGGGGCTGGAACATAATGAGTGCTCCAGGAGTGGGCATCAAATAGCTGAGAAGGTGAGTGAGGTCGGAGATGGAGATTCCACTCCACATCTGTTAGGACCTGGCTTTGAGGGAATTGGAGGACCAGGTGATGAGGAGGAGAGGTATGACGCTTATCACACCCTCATTCACAGGTGTGCCCACCACTGTGCTGTACTGTGACAGGTGGCTCCTGCCCACCCTGAGCTGAGTGTTCCCCTGAGAGGCTGATCACTCCCCAAGCAGGTAACATCTGGGGGAAAGGAAAGGAAGTAGGTGAGGATGGAGATGCGGACAGCTAAGGGTGGAGATAAGAGGGGCAGGGGAGCGGGCAGTGGGATAGCTAGGATGATTCGCCCTGTGGGAGGCCAAGACCAGAGAATCTCTGCAGCCCGTGGAGGAGAGCAGGGCATCCTAGCAGGGGAATCCCAGTGTGAAGGCCTTGTGGGTACACAGCGGGGTCGGGGATGCCCCCAGTGTGAGTGGGGAGCAGCCGGGTGGGCTGGAGGGTGTAAAGGGCATCAGCCATACCAAGCTGGACTTCTACCAGGCAGAGGACTGGGATCTGTTGCCAGCATGTCAGTTGGAAGGTGATAGAGTTGGGGTCTCTCTGCTTCTCTGTGACAAAAGGACTGAGAATGTGAGTAGGGGACCAGAGGGCGGTGTTCCAAGCACTCCAGCCAGGGACAGCGGGGACCTGAAGGAGCGAGGGCAATGGAAACAATAGATTTTAGACCAACTTAGAGGTGGCCCAGCCAGGATCTGGTGCCTGGTTTGAGGGGGGAGTGTGGACTAAGACTGGCTCCCAGACCGTGGACCTGGAGAGCTGACTAATGGCAGTGCCAGACCCGGGGATGGGAGTAAGGAGAAGATGAGTAAGTAAGTGTGGGAGCTGTGAGTTTAATGTATCTGCAGGGCTCCACACAGAATGTGCAGGAGGCAGTTGGGTGCCTGGGCTGGACACAGACTTAGAAAAATGGCACACAGGGGATGGGTGGCTTGCCTGAAAGTGAGCCAGGAGGGTGGAAGGTGGCCATGCAAGATAGAGACAAACAAGATAGGCAGAGCAAGTACAGCAGAGCAAGACTGCAGGGAACGGCATGGAAAAGCAGAGTGGGGGACCCAGAGATTGTGTCGGGAGCCAGGGGAGTGTGGAAAGCAGGAGCGGGTACTAGAATGTGCTCCATCCAAAGGATGCAAGGACAGCCAGTGCCCGGAACCTGAGAGATGAGCCTCTGGGAGGGGTGGTGGGGGTAGAGAGTTCAGGACACAGCTCTTCTTTGCAGTGTGGTTGCTTGCCAACGAGGGTGAGAGGTGCAGGCCCCATGGAGACTTCAGATGGGGAGGCTGGGTGGCAAGGCTGTCAGTAGAGGGGCACATCCCAGGGATCTGCTGCTTGCTGTGGGCCAATCCCCAAAAGAGGGCCTTGGGACAGCCGCTGTTTATCACCTCTCCTGGGCTCAGCTGTCGTTTCTGGCCCATGTGGCTCCGTGGGTTGAGCAGAGCCTGGAGACAGCATGCTCACATGGCAGGGGCTGATGTGAGCCATGGCTCGGAGCTTAGCTGAGGCTGACACTCGAGTGTCCTGTCCCTCCGCCACGGTCGGGTCTCCTCTCTCCTGACCACTGGGCTTCTTGCAAATGTTGCAGATGCTCCAAAGGAGAAGCTGCAGCTCTCATAAGCCCCGATTGGAAGTCACAGTGCCAGTGCCGTCACATTCTATGGGTCATCGCAGGTCACAGGCCACCCCAGATTCAAGGGTGAGCATGAGACTGGACCCCAAATCTCGGAACGGAGGAGCTGCAAAGCAGTGAACGGTCTTTAATATGACACGGGGGGAAAATGAGCCTCCGAGAACATTACCGAGGGAGCCACCAAGATCACTGCCCAGACTGGGCATGGGGCACGGGTACTGGCCATGGCCAAAGAGAGAAGAGGTTTGGAATGAGGCCCCAGGAGGAGAGAGTTAGCTTGGTGTTGTTATCAAGAGGGTGTGAGCAGCTCAAGTAATCACAAAGGTCTCCTTGGTAGACACTGTTTGGAAGTTAGGCCTCTTTGTAGGTTGGTAGTGGGAGACAGCAGCTAATAGCAGCATTTTATTGAGTGCTAATATGTGGCCTTAATCACTTCTGCCAAGGGCCCTAGGTGTTGTGATCCTCCTTTTACAGGTGAAACAACCAAGGCTCAGTGAGTCTCTCTCTGTCTCTGTCTCTCCCCTGTGCTCCCCCGCCTCTCTGCCGTGTTCTCTCTCCATCTCTTCCCCTCTCTCTCCCTCCCTCCCCTGGAAGAATGTCTGGGCTGATTGTCTGCAGGAAAAAGCTATTTGCTCTCTCCCGCCTGAGGAGCAGAACCATGTCACAAAAGCTCCTGAGAGGAGGGACACCATAATGGATGAGAATTTCACCACCCTCCTCCCCCAGGAAAGTGGAGTCAGGGTGTGGGGGCAGCCCGAAGGGGTCCTGAAGTAGAACAGAACTGGGGACTGTGAGGTACAAGCCCCTCAGCACAGAGGCGAGGGGGAGGCAAGAGATAACTATGGACTGGTGACCACCATTCCCACCACCCTAATCATGCTCTTGTGATATTAATAAAAATAATTTATGTCATGTGACTGCTTTTTAACTAGCTGCTTTCAAGACTTAAGACCGGGATTATAAAAGGCATGCATTTATAAATTATTAGCACAGAGCTCATAAGCACATATACTTTGGGGAACACTTTGGTAGCACTTTAAATTAATTTATTGTCATTCATTCCAGCTGTCTGTGATGTAAACCTTCAGCTATAAATTTGGACCATCATCTGACACACCATTAACTAAGGTGCTGCCCGAGCCAGGGAACATAATAAAGCATTCGAAAACAATTTCTGTAGGGACAAATGTCTCCCCTCTCTTCCTTCTTCTTTGGCTTCTTCCCTCTTCTCCTCTCTCTCTCTCTCTTCTGCCTCCTTCTCCCCACCCCTCTCCTCTCCTCTCCTCCCAATGAGAAACAGAATGGAGAGAAAGCAGATGCTTTTGAGGTGACTCTCCCTAGAGCTCAAGGGACTCCATCCCATTGCACTGACAGGCATCAGAGGTTCAGAGAGGGCCTGGGTTTGTCTGAGGCCACACAGCCAGCAGAAATCATGGTGCCCATCCTCCTCAGATACCTCACTGGCAGGTGGACCGAGTCTATGCTGTAGGAACTTTGGCCTGGACACGAGGGGACCCCAGAACTCAAGGGGAAACTTAGAGCAAGGCAAGAGATTTGAAAGCAGTTTCCGGAGGTGCAGTCAGAACTGGATTCTGAGGAATGCTGGGCAAATGGAAGGGAAGACTACAGAGGAGCTCATTCCGTGACCAAAGCCTTTAAAGAGCAGAAAGGCAAAGAATGACTGGTTTGGAGGATTCCAGGGGACAGAGCACATGCACTGGAAATCAACCCGGGGAGGGGGATAATTTAGAGACCCACAAGACTGGATTTGGTAATGGTGAACTTGGAATGACTTAGAGTTAGTTCTCCATCCCTGGCGGGCCTTGGGAGAGTGGATGGTGTACTGGGTTTCTATAGCCACTGAAACAAAGGACTACAAGAAGTGGCACCTGAAAAGACATGGGTTTGCATTGAAGTAAGAACTGCAAAGTGGGTCTCAGGAGGTTAAATTCAAAGTATCTGTTGGACTCCTTTCTTTCTGAGGCTGTAAGAGAAAATCGGTTTCTTTGTTTTTTTCCAGGGTCTGAAGACCACCACATTCCTTGACTCAATGTTCCTTTTCTGTTCTTCAAAGCCAGCAATGTGAGGACAAGTCTCTTCCCTGCTGCCCATCTCTTGCATACCCTGGGATGACGTTGGGCCCTCATACAGGATACTCTTTCTATGTCAAGGCCAGCAGGCCCTCAGCCTTAATTCCATCTGCAGTCTCAATTCTCCTTTCCCTGTAACCTAGCGCATCCTAGGTGTCCCTCTCCGGGGGCCATTATTCTGTCTACCACAAACAAGGAGTAAGGGCCACCAAGGTCTCCGTCATAGAGAGAATTTGTCTAATCCAAACCAGAGGACATTTTGATACTTCTCTGAAGCAAGAGAGTGTGCCAGGAAGAAGGAGGAAGAGCAAAAAGAGAAAGGCTCGGATTCTAGCCTGTGTGGACCAGTTCTGCAACCAGCGTCATGTTGGCTTGTTCTGGCCTCTGTTTCTCCACTGGTAAAATGAGGTCTGCTGCCCGCTTTGGCCCTGACTTAACTACTTCTCCATATATTACCAGTCTGGGGCGGTGTAGCAGCTGCTTAGCATGCTTGAGGGCTGGTCTTCCATCCCTGGCATAAAAAAAAAAAATCCAAACGATCAGTCTAGTGTAGGCCCAGCTGAAGGAGGCTGCAGGGGATGCCACGTGGGGTCAAACCAAGATGGTGGGGAAGTTCCGGGAGTGCTGCCTGGTAGATGGGCGCAGCACTGTTCCCCAAAGGCCAGCAGGCCATCTCTGCTTTATGATGGGCAAAGGGGGAGACTTCATTCTGGGAGCTGTGGCTACATGGCTGTGGCCAAGGGAATGTGCTCCCCCACCCCGAGACAGGAACAAAGGCCCCACCTCCCATTTAGCCTCTTTGCCTTGGGCCCTGGAAGCCCTAGCCTTCCTGAAAGGAGCCCTGGAGAAGCTGTGGGTTCTCTACTGGCATCCTCTTCTACTATCCTAAAGGCCAGGACTGAGCTTGTCTGAAGCTCCATCTGTGCTCTTGCCTGGTTTCTCTGAGGTCTTAGGGACAAGATGATTAGCTCAGCTTTTGACAGTTAGGTGACACTCACTCCAACTGTACATCAGCACAGTGTCCAGCACACAACCAAAAATCTTTGGGGGGGGGGACTTCCTGCCGGTGCCGTTCCTGGATGACCCTGTCTGTCCATTCCCTCCTCCCTCCCCTCCTGGCAGCCTCCAGTAGCTCTGGCCCCAAATAACGGCAGGTCTGAGCTGTGGCCTCTCCTCTGGGATTGGGCCTGTGAGGTTGTGGTTACTGTCTCCACATTTGTCTTGCTGGTCTGGAGGGGGTCCTTGAAGGCCACCAAGCCTGTGGTGTCCCTGAGGCAGGCCTTGTGTCTCTCAGCCTCTGGGGCTCCAGGAGCCCCCCAGCTGGCTCCCTAGTAGGTGCTGGGTCATGTGCTGGAATGAGTGGGCATGGGAAGGGGGGGCACTCCGCTGGGTTAATTTGTTCCTCCACCCATGCCCTCTGGGGGCTCACAGTGGGACTTCCGCCTGACACGGGTTGCCCTGGCAGTATGGGGACCACGGGCATCAGATGGAGGGGTGAGGGCTGGAACAGGGGCATCTGTGGTCTTTGGCTTCAGAGCTCAGCCTTGGAATCTGCGGTGCCCCCTCTGGCTGGTACTTGCGTCTCCTCTTATCTGCAGCCAGACCTTGAAGAGCCAAGGACCAGTTCTATTAATCAATTATCTGCTGCTGTGCAGAGAGCAGGGCTGCCTGGCCAGATAAAGTCCTAGGGGAGGGCAGGGAGCAGGAGAAGGGGTTCGGGAGTGGAATCTGACCCTCACCCGGAGGGGGTACCTGTGCCGTGCTTACACTCCAGTGTGCACATCTCTGGCACACACATCCCCTCTCCCTTGCACACTCCCTTCTACCCTTGGCCTCTCATGCATCTGGATCCCTGTGGCAGCCCAGGCTCTGCACACAGCTTCCCGGGACCCACACAGTCACGCACCTCTCTAGCTCCTGCCCACCTGCCTGTGTGACCTGGCCCACGCCCTGACAGTCACACATCCTTCCACACCCTCTGCACAGCCTCGCCAGCACCCACTGAGAGCTTCCTTCATGTTCCCCAGGGCGGGAGCGGTGCCTGTGTGGATGGCCAGATGAGGTTTCTGAGGACAGATGTACCATTGTCTGTACCAGGTTGGATTGGTCTGAATTTTTGGCATGCAATCGGGATGTCTGGGTTGCAGCCAGACGCCTAAATTCCCTGGCCATATCGGACCCTGGATGAGTCCCTTTCCTGACTCAGGCCTCAGCTTCCTCATCCTCGAGATGGGAATAGTGCCAGCCCTAGGGGATGTTTGCAGGAGTCAGTGCGATGTCAGCAGGGACACAGAGAGGGTCGTTTGTATTCTTATTGCTCCGCTTGCTGTTGTCATTGATGGGTAAGGGGTCCTTTGGGATGTGGGAAGCTCGTGACCAGGCAGCCCCTGCTGGGTCCTGGTAATGTCCAGCATTTGGTGGCCCCCACTTGTACCCCATATCATTGGAACCCAGGCTGCTGTGTGACAAGCTGCCCTTGCAGGGAGCACCGTGGAGACCTCAGCTGCCCACAGGGCCTGGCAACTTCTGTCATCCATACCTGGGGTGCCCTACTCAGGGTTTGGGGACTTGGGGTGCAAGGTCCAGGACTGCTCCCCACAAGATTATCTACTGAGTAAAGGGGTGGGCAGCATGAGGGTGACCCTGCCACAGGCGGGGGGCCAAGCGAACTTGGCCGGTGGATCTGCAAGCAGCATGGGGGTAGGACCGTGGGACCAAAGTGGGAGACAGTGTGGGAGCTTATACTTGGTATGCATGTGTCAGTGACTCCACCAGGAGTGTGGCTGTGGAGTGTCCTGGGGGATATGGCAGTGTTGGAGGGGACTGGTGTGTGTGTGTGTGTGTATGTGTGTGTGTTTGAACGTGAGCATGGAGGCTGCTGGATGAGCCTTCTCTGGTGCCTAGGAATGTGAGTGAGCTTCCAGACCATTGTGTGTCCATCAGTGTGTATTTGGACTGTGTGTGCATGCACGTGTATCTGTTCTGCATGCATCAGGTCTGCCTGTGGGGTGGGGTGTAGCGTGTCTGTGTGTTTGCATCACGTGGTGTGCGTGTGTGCGGGTGTGTGTGTTACTTGTAGCAGGTCTGTCCCTGATAGCTGGGGTGCAGGCCTTGCTGCGGGGTGTGAGTGTGAGTGCAGTGTGGGGTGTGTGTGCAGGGGCAGAGAGCGTTGTGCGGAGGGTGCTGGGCAGCTGGGTGCTTCTCCCTCCCTGTTCACGGTGGCTGTTCTGACAGCCGGGTGGAGAGGAAAGCTAGTCAGGGAGATCAGTCAGAGACAAATCGATTCCCTTTAGAGGTGAGAAAAAGCAGATGCTGCGGCTGCTGGTGGCCTGTTAGGCTCTCAGCCACATCCCTCCTTCCTCCCCCTCCTCTGGCAGCCAGCGCCCCGCCTTTGTTAGGGGCCCTGCTGCCGCCTGCTGCCTCCAGCCTCCCCGAAGCAGAGCCCGCCTACAGGGGCACCATGCTGGGTGCTTGGGCGTGTGCACCCTTCTGTGCATGGCTGGGAGGTATAGACCTTGTCCTGGACCGCAGGAAATGGCAGGTCCCGTCAGTAATTTCAGAGGCAGCTGCTCATAGACTTGGCTGGGGACTCCGAGGGAGCTGGACCAGGGAGACAAGCAAGAGGAGCTGTCCTGGGGCAGCGCTGGCCCCACAGACTGGCCTCTTCCTGAAGCCTGGGGAGAGCATCTGTTCCCAAACCCAGTTCTGCCAATCGAGAACAGATGAGCCAGGCTGGAGTGGGAGCCAAGGGCCAGCCTGTGGCCTCACCCTAGTGGGCATCAGGGGCCTTCTTACCTTAGCTGCTCACAGCTTCCATTACGGGAGGTGACCCCTGAGCAGCCAGATCACCCCTATTCCAGGCCTGCCTCTCTGCACCCCCTTTCCTACTGGGGAAGCAGCAGCCAAAGTAGATCAGGGACCAGGGCTTGGCGTGGTGCACAGGTGGAGGCTGTCCTGTGGGTGGGGAGGGCTCCCCTCTCTGCGTCCCCAGGCTCTTATTGGAACCATCATGTCACCCGCTCAGCAGTCACCGAGCTCTAGTTAGGGGCCAGGCCTTGAACTGGGCAGGGAGCCCCGCACCTGCTGGGTGACCAGCAGGGACTGGGAGAGAGCATGGGAGGAGCCTGCAGCAGACCTGGCCCCTTCCCCATCTAGTAGTGCCCCCTCCTTTCTGCCTGCCCCCTGGCTCCTCCCAGGAGCTGTCCCTGAGCTCTGAGATGGCCACCTCCTCTTCTCCATGCCCCACCCTGTCTAGACCTGTGATTCTGCAAGGACCGATACTTCCTCTTTCTTCCTTTTCATCATGCCCGCCATGGATGCCCTTCTCCCTGAGTGTGAAGGGCCACAGGTTGGAGCTGCTCTGTGGAAATGGCCTTTCCCGGGCTGGGTTTCTGTGATGTCCTCAGCAACCGAGACTCCTTCCTCCACCCTCCCTCTGCCCCCGAAGGTCCTTGACATTCTGCTCTCACTCTTGGTTTCAGGCACTTTCTGAGACGCCGTCTCTTGCCTGAGCCGGTCACATTGCACATCTAGAATGTGCTCTGAGAGACCTGTGCTCCCAGCCCTGGCTGTGTGTCCTGATGCAGACACTAAGCCTCTCTGGGCCTTGTTTCCTCTTCTGCTCAAGAGCTTCGGATCAGGCCTTGCTCAACCCGAAGGAACTCAGAGCAGGCAGTGGGCAAGGGGGCTGAGGGGCACTGCAGCTGTGTTTGGGTTCCTGGTAGTCGGGGCTGGCTCACAGAACCTTTCCAATCTCCATCCCTAGCCTGATTTCCCAGGGTCCGGCCAGATGGGAGAGGCCAAGAATCAATCTATAAACATCGATTGAACCTCTTTTGAGCCAAGCCCCGTTGTGGGCAGACAGCACTTGGCCTCGCGCCTGGCCTGTGGGATTTGTTCATAGCAGTGACTGCTGGGAGAAGGAACAGAGGGCTGCATGTGTGGGTGTGGGTGTTGCTGCACATCCCCTCCCCCCAGGGGGCTGCCAGTCTCACTGGGACCCACTGGGTGGGACAGAAGAGCAGGCTGGGACTCCAGCTCTGCTTCTGACCTGCTCCTGGCCGGCCTTCCTGTTTACCCTCAATAAAATCGAGTGCTGGAGCTCTGTGACCTTGAAGACCATTTCCTGCTGTGATATTAATACCACCACTAAGAATAACAGTAGCAGTCGAGGCAGAAGCAAGCATCCTAATATTAGCTGCACCTGTCGAGGGCTGGAACAGGCCAGGCCCTTCCCCTTGTGATGATGTCAGGTCTCCGAGGCCCTCCCTGGCCTGAACTGCATAACTGCAAGGGAACCAGTGCTAAGCTGCTTGTCTGGGGTCCCACAGCCAGGGCAGCAGGCAAGGCTGTCTTTGGCTGGGCTCTGACAATGGCAAGGAACAGAGATGCTCAGCTGATCTTGGGGCTTGAGGGGAGAGGAAGTGTCCACTGTGGGGCCTTGGGTCAGCCACACCAATGGGTTGCAGGCAGAGTGGGATCTGGCCTGGGACTTCCGGGAACCCAAGAGCACCCGGGCATCAGCACGAAGTCCCTGGAGCTGCAGTTCAGCATTGCATGGGCCTTGGTCTCCTCTGCCCCTGTTCCACAGCAACTCCTGCACTCCTGCCTTCTTCTGGTGTGTCTGGCTGGACCTCAGTTCCCACTCCTCATAGATGCGGCTGTCCCGAGTCCCAACTGGCTGTGGTTTTCCTCCAGGCCTCCTTGCTGGCTATCTTCCTCAGCTGCTGGCCCAGGTCAACCTCCCACCCGACCAGTTCCCATGGTGCCCTCCCTCTGGACTGGCTGCCTGCTGGGGCAGTCTCCACCCCCTGTCCAATCAGCTGTGATGGGCGGGGCACTTCCCCCAATCAGCTGTTCCTCAACCTGGCCTCTGGATGCTTTTCCTCTCTTGAGGACTTTGCTCTTCAGGAGGCTGAGGCAGAAGGTTCCCAAGTTCAAGGCCAGCCCGGGTAACTTAGCAAGACTCTATCTCAAAAAAATACATACGATCATATGCCTCAGTTGACAAACATCTCCGAGCTCGAACTTTCTGCTAGTTGAGCAGCAAAGTTTGAAAAAACTCTGCTCAGTGTCCCTAACTTTGCTGAAAGTCGAACTGAAAATACAACTTGGGAAAAAAACCTGTACTACGGAGAATGAGTTGTGTGTTGCATCTCAGCCATAGAAACAAAGTGGTGACGCTTCAGTCTAAGTGCCACTCTTGCACCAACAACACACAGTGCTTGTGTTAGTGTGTTAAAACACTCATCTTTTTTTATGCTTTGTGTAAAATATAACTCTGGATGCAAAAAAAAAAAAAACAAAAAACATGATACCAGCAGTAAAGCTAGGAGGACAACTGTGAGAAACACAATAGAATTAAAGAAAGAAATCACTGCAAACTTTGTTAAAAGTCCCAGAAAAATGAATGTATGTGTAATCCCGAGGCCTCAGAACCAGTTATTTGGTTTTCCATTATTTCTTATGGGAAAAATATGTTCAGTTCTCAAACCTTTCAGTGTTCCAATACAAATTTGGAACACATGGAGCTCGACACTGAGATGTCACTGTGTGTAAAAAGGCCTGGGTGCATAGCTCAGTGCTCTCTTGGTTCAAACCCCAGCACTGCAAAAGCAAAATACAACACCCCCCAGAGCAAATGAACCCCCCAAAAAACCGAGAACCAAAACTTAGGGGGGACCCTAAAGAGCTTTGATTTATGTGGCTTTATCTCTCTGTATTTATATTAGACATTGAAATGGAAAAATTGTACATTTATTAATTTAAAAATAGCGAGGATATGCCACCCCATATTAACATAGGTAATTCGGTTTTCATAAAAAACAGCTTTTCTAAAGTGAAGGTGCTTAGGCAGAAAGGCAGCATCAGTGGGGTCTGCAGAGATTCACTGAGGTGGAGGCTGCTGGGCTTGGGAAGCCGACTCTGCATTCGCGCTCCCTCGCGTGGGGCCGTCGCTAGAGTGTCCCCTTGTGCGCTTGCGCAGGGAAGGAAGGGTGTAAAAGGTGAATGCACCTCCTAACTTCCCAGGCCCCCGAGAGAATCAGTGTCTCTGCGGGGCCTCTCCGCCGCTCCACGACCCTCCTCTGCCAGCCAGGCTTGAGGCTGCCGTGGGACCCATCAGTGGCAGCTGAGGCTGGGAGCAGCTTACGGAAGGTGAAGGGAGCCACGAAAGCTGCATATATTTGGGGAGGCAGAATGGAGAGGGGAATTTTTCCAGGCAGTTGGAAGTGACGGGGCACATCTTCAAAGTGGGAAGCTGAGGCACCATGCCAAGGCTGGCTGAGGCCTTTAGGGCCCTGTGTACTGCCAAGGTTGAGGTCCCATCCTGCATAGCTCAAAATAAAGTTGATTTTCCATCGTGACACCAAGCTTCCCATGTGTTAATTAAAATAGTGTCCTTGTAGTTCCTGGATAAGTGCACAGAGCTAACCTGTTCCTTTCTTGGAGCTGAGCTGTGTTGGTGCCTAGGCTCTCGTGGGCACCGGGGGGATGGTGAGCAGACCTTGGGGATGGGGCAGGAGCAGGGCTGCCAGCACCACTGAAGCACCGGCGATCACCGTGTACACTGCAGAGAGAGGCTGAGCAGCCTGGCCTGGGATTGCCTCTCCCTGGCCTGGCCTGACCCCATCTGGGCAGAGGGTGGGGAGGATTGTCCTCCTCATGATGCCTCTTTTCTGTCCATGTCCTTGCATGGTCTTGGAGGGAGCTGGGGGCACTCAGGAGGGAACAAGCCCCAGCCCAGCAGAGAGCTGGGAGGATGGGGGCTTGGCTAGGATGGAGGTCTCAGCCCAGGGTGTATGATGGTCTGTGCAACCACTGGCTAGCTGGATCCCTGAATTCAGCTCTTCCACTTTGTGCTTCAGTTTCCTCAATTGTAAGGCAGGGGTGATGGATTCCAGCCCCTGTGGTATGGTTGTAAAAGCAAAATGAGAAGAGCATCAGTCACCAGGGGACACATGGACCAACCCTGTGAAAGCCAGACTCAGCTGGACTTCCCGTTCCCTGTTGCGGATCAGGTCCTGGTTTGCAGGGATTGTGCAACAAATACATTGGATGAAAGAATGAAATACTGAAGACGAGATCAGTGGCTCTGGTGATGTCAGTCCCTTCTTTAGGCAAGGCCTGGTCCAACTACCTCGTTCTATAGGTTGGAAAACAGTAGAACAGAAAGGGGAGGCATATGTTTAAGGCCATACAGCAAGTTAGTACCTGAGCTGAATCCTAAACCCATGGAATGACAGTGAGGACCACCCAGTGGGTGTCCCAGGAGGGATTGGGTCTCCTCTGTGTGTCCATGAGTGTGTGAACGTGTGTGTGTGTGTGTATGCATGTGCACCTGGGAAGCCAGGGGACTGTCTTCTTCCCAGGGCTTCTCCTTCCTGAAAGCCTGCAAACCCTGTAGTGAGTGGGACCTGGTCCTACTTACTGGGATTACCATGCCACCTGAATTCCCGCAGGGAGGTGGTATCTTCCTGACCAAAGCTCTGTCTATCTGCGAAGTCACTGTGGTTTCACGGGGACTTTTACAAGAGCTCAGGCTGGAGATGGACAGCAGAAGATTGCAGAGATGGCAACAGGACTGATGTCCAGGTCAGGAGAGTCACTTTTTCCTCCTCCTGATGACCTTTTCTAGGACAGGCTTCCCCACCTCGACTGTGGGTTTGTTTGGCAAAGGCTCTTGGAAGCCAGCCGTTCTGCTTTCCTCCAGGAATGACTCAAGTGTGTCTTGCAGAGTAGCAGCTACAACTGCAACTGGAAGCTGGTTAGAAATGCAGAGTCTCAGGGCCTCCCCCCACCCTGACCAAGCTCTGAGTCACAGTCTCTGCAGTCTGTGTTTTACAAGCCCTCTGCTACTGCTTATGAAAGTTTAAGCATCACTACTCCACTCTGTTTCCTGACGAATTTGGTATTCAGTAGGGCCAGTATTAAAAGGGGTTGGGTGTTTCCTGATGATAGTTAAAAACCTATTAAACCTTCACTTGTTCACCCATCACCCACCCATCCATTCACCTATCTCCTCACTCACCATCTATCCACCTACTCATTCACCCATCCATCTGTTCGCCTATCCATCTACCTATGCACTATTTATCCATACATCTGTTCATGCAGTCATTCACCTATCCATCCACCCATCTGTTCATCCATCCATCTACTCATCCATCCATCCACCCACCTATCTCTGTACCCATTCATTCATCTATCCATCTATCCATCTATCCATCCATCCATCCACTCACCCATCATCTATCTATCTATCTATCTATCTATCTATCTATCTATCTATCTCTATTTTTCCACCCATCCATCTCCATCCATCCATCCATCCAGTAGATAAGGAGTTGTACCTAGAAACTGACAGCAGAAAGCTCGGGACTCCTGGTCTGTCCAGCTTACCATAAGGTGCCACCAGGTGGGTGAAATAACTTGCCTGCTTAACTGCCCAGGTAGCAGTGGTTCTTCAAGCCAGTCAATTCACGAATAGGAGCTCGTCAATGGTCACCAAAGCTTAAGAAGCCACTCTAGTGCAGTGTCTAAGGAGGCAGAAGAGGAATCAGCACGTACCTGACATGGGTTATGGCCAGATGTTTTCATCCTCCAAAACTTTCTTTATATTGGGTATTTTAAAGATGGGAAAACTGAGGCTCAAAGAAACCAAGGCTGCAGAGCCTGCAAAGACCGCAGAGCCAAGATTGTAGAGCCAGTTCCTCCCCATCCCAGAGGCTGCACATTTTCTTCCATTTTGTGCTGCCTTCTTAGAGGCTTGGGAATTGACAGCTAAGGTGAAAGGGCAGGCAGATTTGGGAAGGACTTTGATGCCTTGCACTGCTACAGATGAGCAGGCTGCCTGTGAGTTGGTGATCTTCTTGTCATGGGAGCCGTGCAAGCAGAGACCATGGTCTCATGGAGTGCAGATGGGGAGGATTGAGGCCAGGTGGCTTGGAGGGGCTCCTGCCCTTGGAGCTGGGCCTGCTCGGGCCTGCTCCTGGATTCTCGCCCTGTGGAGGATGGAGGCTCTGCAGCCAGCTGCTCGTTATCTGTGGATGCTCTGAGGGGACTCTGCCAGCTCCCAAGCAGGAAATGTGACCAGAAAGCTGTAATTAGAGCCGGGAGCCACAGGCCTGAGTAGTGCTTGCTGGAGCTTCAAGTGCAGACATGCCACATGGTGGGACCCGGAGAGAACCCGGTGATTCAGGCTCTCAGATCCGCCCGTATGTGGCACCCTGCCCCACCCTGCTCTGTCTCTGGAAGGAAATTGGGAGCCTGCTGGTGTTTGGGCTTTACTGGCATTTTCTCCTTGCTTCCTCTCCGGAATGGAGCCCAAGGTTCCCAGGTACCACACATCCACCGAGGCCATCCTGTCAAGCAGAGACAGGACCCTAGGCGGCCTGGGGGAGCCCCTGGTCCAACTTTACATCATCCAGGGGAGGACACCAGAGCCAGAGGTGGGCACAGAGCCAGAAGTAAAAGCAGCAGAGATCTGGCTGGCCCTTGGTAGACGTGGGTCTGCCTAACTGACTGTGACTTTTCTTAGCCTTTTCTGAATGTCCCGTAGAAGGATGGGTCCTGTCTATGTGCCCCTACCAGCCTGCTGGGCAGCCCATGGCATTTGGGATGGTTTTAAAACATAGCCATAAATTCTTTGACACTCTTCCCACGGAGAGATTGGGTCTCAGTCTCGTCCCTTTGCATCAGAGCAGACTGGTGACTTCTTCACTTGACAGAGTGTTGCGGAAGAGACCTAAAGTCAATAAAGACTTCTGCGTTATCTGCTGGAATGCTGAGGGTTGCTCTCCTGAGGCCACCATGCTGGGAGGAAGCCCAGCACACAGAGAGATCACGGCAGGCGCTGTGGTCCGCGGTCCCAGTGGGTCACCGAGCCTCCCCAGCTGTTCACGTTTCCCCAGCTGGTGCTCTAGAAGTCATGAAGTACAGTCACATGGCTACCATGCTCTGTCCCCACACTGACCTGTAAGATCTGGATGCACAGTGAAAATGTTTGGTGCTGCTGAGAAGGTGATTTATGATATAGCAATGGATGATCAAGACCAAGGTCCATTTGTGGATTCCCCGAGATCCCAAGGTCTAAGTACAGCAAAGGCAGCTGGAAAGAAACATGGGTGATCTCAAGTTTCCCTTCTCACCATCTTTATCCCCTCCCTGGAGCCTGACTGGGCTCACATGCCCAGTGCAAATCATTGCTTGTAGGACAGGCAGTGAGATAAAAAAAAAAAAAATTTTTTTTTTTTTTTTTTTGTTTTTTT